TTTTTTTTAAAGATAAATTTTTAAGATTGCCGTGATATTGGGTGTGACAAGTGTTAGTTACGTATTGTAGCACTACTATTTTTTTAATGTTTTTAAAAAATTTTAAAAAAATATTAATTTTTTTTAAATATATTTTTTTACTATTTTAATGTATTAATGTGAAGAATTAAAAAATTGGATTATGATATAATTAAAAAAGGAAAATCCGTGCATTCAAAGTCCATGTTTTCCAGCAAATTGTCAGACAAGAACTGACTCAAAGATAACATCAATTGAAATCCTCGTCACAAGAAAAACTGGTTGCGTTGGGACTTTTCTATAGAAAGGAAAGGAAATTCAAAAGAACTTTTCCAATTCAATTCAAACCATAGGGCTTGGCTTTTATGCTCGGCAAAAATCTTCTTTTTCCTAATTCCTTTGGAAAATGTAAGCAATTGTGAATTTTCTATCATTATTTTGATATTTATAATTATAATTGACCATGAAAAAAAAATCAATATCCAGTACAAAGTAAAAATCACAAAAAAATTAGAAAGTAAAAGCCAGGACTAGGTTTATCAATAAAATCACACAGGCTGGAATCTTCAGCAACCCTGAGTGTCTTGATATTCAGTCAATGCCAAGATCGAAATGGTATCGATTGTCCTGGTTTATCAATTGAGCTCGAGGAAAAAAAATAAAATCAGAATCCAAATTCCAAAGACTTGTCCTTGAAATCTTCTTTGGGAAAAGAAGCTCAAGCCTAAAAATCCAGATTGCCGAAAAGAAAAATCAGAATCCGAGTATTAAGTATCATTAGAATTGTAAAGGAAGTTAAAGAAAGAAGATTAAAGATGTTTAGAAGTTACTACTAGGATTAACTTGGAAAAAAATAAATCAATGAAGATTTAAAAAATTAAAAATAAAGATCAAAATTAAAATATAAAATAAATTTTATTTATGATTGAAATAAAAAAATAATTAAAAAAATTAAAAGAATAAATATTAAAATAAAAATAAAAAATAAAAGATTATTGAAGGATGAAATTAAAAAAAATATTTAACAAAAGATCTCAAAAAAATCAAAAAAATAAAGATTAAATTAAAAAAATTGATAAATCGGGATTAGAAAATAAAATTAAAAATAAATAAAATTTCTATAAGTATCCAAAAATTAAAATTAAAAATTAAAATAATAAGAAATGAATTTGAAATATTAACAACAAAAGGAATTAAGCTATAATTTTAAAAGAAAAGAAAAAAAAAATCTACTAGTGACAAATCAGATCACTATCACCTACATATGTTATACACTGGTTATTTTATCATGTATTTAAAATAAAATTTATTTATATTTAATTAAGTTAATAATAACTAATCAACCATGTAAAAAAATCTCAATACCTATAGTAGTAAGAGCAATGATTTTTTTGTGATGAGAAGGGAAAAGTCATCATTCCATCGCTGCAATGAACAATCTCCATGAGTACCATGGTGTTTTTCTGAGCATTATTAGTTAGTTCTTGTTAATATAAAAATAATGTACAAAGTCTAATTAAAACTGAATACTGAATCAAACCTCTTAAATTGAATACAATTAAAAAAAGAGTAAAGAGTGTTTATCAACGGTATCTAATGATTAGGTGGTAGTTAAGTTTTTTTCCTAAAAAAAAAACATAAAAAAACAAGGAGTGATTTTGAATCTAATGGTTCTCTCTTCATTATTTTAATTGTTCAAGCTTCAGATTAATTCCAAGTCATTTGAATGAAAGGCCATGGACGCAAGTCAAGGGAAAGTATGGTGAGGAGAAGGAGGTGGTTGAGTATGAACTAGGTCAATTGGCTGTATAAATTTCATCATCTTCGCCCAAACAATGCTAAATATCCACACCTTGAGAGGAGAAGTTAATGTAAAGTAATGCCGTTGATCGCCCCCTTGAGAGCCCCACACGGGGTGGCTGAACTCATTTCGAAGTCCATGGTCTCCAGCTTTGCTCTTTGACCATAAATTGATTTTTCATTTGATTTGATGATCGAGCTCTTGTAGGCTTATTAATTATATATATATTTTTATTTTAAATTTAAGTTCTGAAATCAGCATTCTCGGAAGTCAATCAACACACTAGATTGATTGGGAGATTTGTCATTAAGATTTCTTTCAAGAAAATAATAAAAATACTTGTATTATTCGAGATAACTTATCCCTTAAACATACCAACTTTCTTGGCTATATATCTATTATGCATGTATATATATAAAAGTCGGAGATGAAAAATATAGGTCAAATATAGGTTTTAAATAAAGTATGTTAGATATATATCTCTTTTTTCTAAGATATAACCTATAAAATAATATTTTAGGATTAATTGAAATGAGTAAAAGTACTAAAACAACTCAAATCTTTCATTTAAAATACACAACCTTTCTGTCAATACAACTTTATTTTCTTCACCCACCAAGGCTCTCACTTGTCAAATTTTTTTTAATTAAATTGAAAAATATGGTATCATAAAGTAAATTTAGATCTTGCCACGTGTTTTGAGTATCTTGAAAAGTCACCATATGAATATTAAGTAAATTTAGTTATTTTAATTAATATTCTACCTAAAACTTTATTTTATAATACAACTTATTGAGTTTTTAATAAAATGAATTTATTGGCTTATCAGTCTTTTTCTCTGCTACGCGGTTGTTCATTCCGAGTTTTAATATTTATCTTCCTTTTCTAACAAGAAATGTTAAGAAAAAAAACCGAGTAAGGCAAGTAAAAAAGAAAAAGCAACCATATATTAAATAAATAAAACAAGAGAGGGGACCGAAGTTTACGTGTTTGGAAAAGTTGATGGCTGTGTCTAAAAATAAATTGATTTTTTATTTAAAATTATATTTTAAAATTATTTTAATATATTATATCAAAAATAAATTTTAAAAAATAAAAAAATAATTTAAAAAAAAATCATAATCACAACAACCACCCATCAAAATTTACTCAAATCACTTGACATGTAATTATAATTGCAACTCTGATTGAAAAGAATAATTAGTGATGTTATTGCGGTGGTCAAGCCGTCATATCGTACACTTTTGAAATTACTATTATTATCTTATGCACCGACCAGGATAATATTTAGCATTCTTTTATCATTTATTGGTATTTACACCCTCAATAAATAGGGTTGGAAGTGATGTTATTTGATCCAGGAAAAGATGAATATACTTCGGAATTGGCAAAAACAACTCTTTTAATTCAATAGAAAATACCACTTCAAAAAAAAAATTAATGTTCTCAAACATAAGATAGTTTTGATTTTCCAAAGTTCAAATTCCTATAACACCATATTTTCTTTATATTATATTAGTTTAAATTCATATTTTTATCAATTTTTATTAAAATTATGTATGTGTAATCCCATTTAGATCTTATTTGTTTTTATAAAAAATAGTTTTCTAAAAAATATTTTTAAAATTTTTTAGTGTTTATTTATTATTAAAAAAGTTGATCAATGAAAAGTATTTTTCAATCAAAGAAAAAATTAACTTGATTTATAAAAATGTATTTTTTTTATTTAAAAAAAAATAATTTTTATAAGTTGCAAAAAATCTAAAAATATCTTATTTTTAGTTATTTATATTAAAGTTGGTCATTAATTTTTTGATTGCTATATTTTTTTTTGAGTTTTTTATTTTTTCAATTTCTTCCATTAAAATTTAATTTTTATATCAACTTTAGTATTTATTATTTTAATTATTATTTTTTTCTTATGATTTTCTTCATTGAAATTTTGCATTTATCATGTTTGGTCTTTTTTTATAGCTATTTATTTTTAAAATGTTTTTATATATTATCAATAAGTTTTATATAAAAAAAATCCCATTAAAACCAAGTAATAATAGTACATCACAATCTACAAGTAGCTTTCAAGAATTTTAAAATAGAAGAAACCTTTGTAAAAAGCTCTCTTGACTGGTCTTTAGTGAACTCGTTTAAGCATTCAACGACGACTTCCCCGACAAGTCATATGCGTCATCCCAACAACCATCCGATCGAACTCTTGCCGATCAGATGGCCCGTTCTCATTGGCCTACGTGATTTACAAGCAGAACCAAGATGGGTGTTTTTCTCGAGTGGGAAGAGGATTAATTACAGCATATTCGGAAAGATTCCCATGGTACGATATCATGATCGATGCCCTTTGTCATGAAAATCATCAGGAAATTGAAATTATAATGTGATTCTGAAATTATAACCTTCTCCTCCTCTTCTTCTTCTTCTCTCAAAACATTCTTTCATGTGTTCTGAAAAATAATTAATTTTATACATCAAATATTGTTTAAAAATTGTAAATACTCCATCCATATAGAGTAGTGCATATATGGAATTCAAGAAAATTGATGCAAAGGAGGAAATTGATGCAAGGTAACCACAGTAAAAATAATAAGAAACATAAATATATATATATATATATATATAAATATAATAAAAATCTACTCAAATAACATTTTTGACGTTAAGACATCTAGAGCTCGACTAATTATAACGATGTATATCTCTTATATAACTAAACTTATAGAATTATTTTAACAAAATTAAATTAAATTAAATTTAACAATGTTCTTTTTTATCACTGTAATAGTTTGATAAGATCGAGTATTTTCTTGGATTTAGTTTTATAGCAGAATTTTAGTTGCTCCGAACTTTTAATTTTTGCTAGCTTTACTATATCACAGTTGAGAAAATAATAAAAAGTGTTTTGTTTTTTCAGTTGACAAAGAATATTGTTGCATGAAATTTAGGTATTAATTGAGACTATGTGAGCACATAGAGGATTGTTCCTGTAGTCAAAGATTCTCAATGCAGCTCCAAACTACAAAAAGAAAATAAAAATAAGAACAAGAATTGCATCAACTTGTTGTGAAGTGGTGGGGCAAAGGCGTGGCTAAAAAGTCCAATTAATTTTACGCGTCGGCCCCTCCGTATAAAGCTAATCAACGAGAGGCAACATGTTTAAGCCATAGTTTTGTAGAAGTGTATTGTAAACACTCATTGTCATTCATCTATTTCACGACAAACTCTCTCTTCTAGCCATATTTCTTTCGAGATCAAGCCCCTCTCTATAATTTCTACATGGATGAAAATTGCACTAACCCTCGAAAGTTTTCATACCAAACATTGGCTTGCGCCACTAATAATTTCTCAGAGAAAGCCAAACTTGGGGAAGGAGCAACTGGTTCAGTTTTTAAGGGATTCTTAAGGGAGTTGAGCTGCTTTGTGGGGGTGAAGAGGATAGTATTTGGTTCTAAATATGGCATGGAGTCATACCTGCCAGAAGTGAAGATCTTAACTAAACTGAAGCATGAAAATTTGGTCAATCTCATTGGCTGGAGCTGCAACAAGAAAGAACTTCTCATTGCTTACGAATTTGTTGCAAACAAGACCTTGGAATATCATCTTTTCAACGAAACAGTCTTCTTGACATGGGGTCAAAGAAAGACCGTCGCTTGGGGCTTGGCTTCAGCACTGCTTTACTTACACGAAGAACGTGAGCAATCTGTTCTCCATTGTGATATCAAATTAGACAACATCCTGCTGGACTCAAATTTCAGTCCCAAACTCTGTGATTTTGGCCTGGCAAGACCTGTGGAACATGAGCAAGAGTCAGGTTATCCTACTGTTTTGACTGGGGCGCCAGGGTACCTTGCACCTGAGTGTAAGAAAAGTGGGAAGGCTTCGAAGGAATCGGATATTTACAGCTTTGGCGTGGTGGTTTTGCAAATGGCTTGCGGAAAGCCAGCTGTGGAACAATTCCAAGAAAACGGGATGAAATTTGAGCTCAAGTTGGTGGATTGGGTCTTGGAGAAAATTGAAAGAGGAGAAAATGCTTCTGCTGTTGCTGATCCACGTTTAGGCCTCAGTTATGATGAGAAGGAGATGGAACAATTGATTTTTGTTGGGCTTTCTTGTGCTAATCCAAATCCATATGATCGCCCTTCTATTTGGGAGGTCATCAAAATGTTAAAATGTTGAAGACCAATTGCCCCTATCACCGGCAGTGATGCCGGTCCCGCTGCTAGATTTTCCTACCCTTCGAGCCATAGCAATAAATATTTGATGATTTTCATGATTTCTCTCTCTCTTTTTTAATAGAATATGGTGATGAAAATTCTTATGCCTACATAAAACTTTGGATCAATGTAATTTTTCCATATATATATATATATATATATATATATATCATAAGGTAGCTTTAATTATTAAAGAGATCTGTTCTCTATTTTCCCTTATTTAGTTCAAATATTGTATTGACATATAAGAAAAATATTTTCTTAAATGCATCAAATCAATAAGAAAAATACATTTTTAAAATTATTCATAAGAAAGTTGTAATATCAATAAAAATATTAAATAAACAGAAAATATTTTTCTTTTTAAAAAATTATATAAAAATGGGATAAAAGATTTGCAATATCACGATAATTATAGATAGTAAGCATGTAATGAGGTAATGAGGTAGACTCGATGTAAGTATTACTTGATACAGGACTTATATATTTACCAGGGTTAATTTAAATTAATTAATTTTTAAAAAATAAAATAATATTGTTTTGATTTAAAAATAAATAAATTTTGATAATATCATGGATTAACCTAAGTTTTTTACTTAATAACACTATATCAACTTTCAAATTATAAATTATTTTTTTAAAATTCAATCTAAGTAAAGTTTCCAATTTTAATTAATCTGTGAAGTTCATCGAGTTTGTGGGCAAATTTCATAGATCTTTAAAGTGCATTATACCAATAAATAAATAAATAAATAAATTAGGCAGTTTCGTGGAATCTCTCTAGCCAAAGGCTCTAACGCCATGATCCCATTCTATTTCTCTTTCATGAACAACAAATAAATATCAACGAACCTACCTGCAAAAAAAGTAAAATTTTCATAAAGCCTTAATTTTATAGAGAAAAAATAGAAAGGAAAATTATTAATATTATAAATAAAATTAAAAGACATAATGTTTTAAAATGGATTCTGTATAATATAATCCAGAGTAAAGTCAATAGTATCTCTTTTAAAAAATCAAATAGTTAAACAAACATTTTGGAGTAATTTTATATGTTAGAGGGGTTTTTTTGAAACTTCACATTTTTTATAGAGTCTAATTACCTTTAGGGTTAACTTTTTTATATAAATAAATAAATAATATAATTGACACATATTTTACTAGTAGCCCTTCAATAACTGTTTGTTACCTTTAAGGATAACATCTAAAGTGGTGCGTCACTTTTTATATTATACGTTAGCATGTGTCAGCTGTTAGAGCACATCGAAATTTTAAAAATAATTTTTTTTATTTTCCTCTTTTCTTTTACTTTTACTTCAAAAGTTATGCTGACATTGTAAAAATCTAAAGTGGTACTTAATTTTTTAATTATATTGAATTTAATTTAATTGTTTTTTAATTTTATTCTTTGAAATTTAATTTTTTATGGTTTTTTAATTAAATTTGAACATTATTCTTTTGATTCCTATTTATTTTGCTTTTAATATTTTTTTAATAGATTTTATTTTTTAATTTCATCTCTAATTATTTGATTATAATTTTTTTTGTTAATCTGATCCTCATTCTTGTGATTACAACTCCTTTTATTTTGATTTTTTTTATTAATTTTTGTTTTGTTAATTTCATTCTTCATTGTTTAATTTCATTAAATTTTTATATCATATTTAGTGTTTATTTTTTATCATACTTTTAAAAACCAATCTGAAAGTCGACTCTCATTATGTCTCGGGTCACAAGTTAAGCCAAATGATTAGGTTTATAAGGGATAATTTAATTTTTTTTTTATTGTACAGGAAGTAAAAATGACATTATTTTGATAAAAAAAATTATAAAAAAGTCAATAGGTACTGACATGATTTTCATCCAGTTAATCGCTTAAATTTTTATTCAACTAAAAAATAAAAATAGTAATATTTTGATAAAACAATAATGGAGAAAAAAATTCAATTATGATCCCCTTTCTTTTAATTGGTTTTTTTTTTTGTTTTGGATTTTTTTTTAGATTTTTTTTTAATTTCATCAATTTTCATTTGATTTTGTTTTGTTTATATATCAAATATGCTATTCATTCTCTTAATTTTTATTTTTTTATCCTTTTTTTGGTTGCTTTTCTTTTAATTTTTCTCCACAATATTTTATGTGATTTCATTTTGTTTCTAGATCTAGTCCTCATTTTTTTTAATTGCTCCTTTTTAATCATTTTCTTAATTTATTTTTTTCTTTTAATTTTTCCGCACAACATTTTATTTCATTTATTTTTTAAATATAATATTTAGTTCTCATTCTTTTAATTTTAATTTTATTTTATGTTTTAATTAAGTCCTCATTATTTTATTTCATTAGTTTTTATATTAGGTTTGATCCTTATTATTTTGATTACTAGTTGTTTTCTTTTTAACTTTTTAATGGCTAAACAATTTATTCAAGATTTGTTTTGATATTTTTTATGATCATCTCGGTCTCATAGTTAATGTTAATGTTTAAAAAATTAGTTTGATTTAACTTCGGTCTTTATTTTATTTTATCTTTTCAATTTAAGCTATTAGACCTTTAATTTTTCTTTTTTCTTTTTTAGGGTTATTCTTAATTATTGGTTAGTCAAGTTAACCTGAATTTACCTCTATTATTACTATTTGAATATTTTTTTATGTTAGAAAAAAATTAAATAAAAAAAAATCTAGTTAAAAACTAATAAAAGTCAATATATTGTACCCAATATGGGCCTATTATCAAAATTTTCAACAGGCCTTAAATTTTAGACTCAGTTCAGATTGATTTAAACAGGCTGAAAACTTGAACAAACCATTTGAATGGGTCTATCTAGCCCAGACCAAGTGGATTTGGTGTCAAATGCCAACTCCGTGGCTCAATCAAACACTTCCTTGTCCTAACAGTAAAATATCAACTGTAGGCAATTGAAGGAAGGAAACCAGCAACGGCTTATCTTCAACTCTAACACGCAAGAACATACTCTCGCTCTCTATCCATAACTCTATGTTGAAATGGAACACTTGTCGTTGAATCCATCTTTGCAAAATGAAATCGAAAACGAAAATTTGGGACTGCCTGAGAAAGATATCGGAAGCAAGGCCCAAGGAAAAAGATTGTCAAGAAGGGAATTTCATGGCAGACAACTCCATTTCCTGGAGATGAAGTGGAAGGTACTAGAAGGGGAGAAATTATTGTCTATTTTTTTATGTTTTACAAGTAAAGGGTCAGTTTGTTTCAATGTTTGTCACTTGACGAAGTAGCCTGAGATCACTTAAAGAACTATGGTTTTAGAGTTTCAACAAGAAGGCTTACATGAGATTTTCTGGTGTTAAAACTTCTTGTTTCAGTTCATTTCAGTGGACATATTGAAGTTGGGGCGGGGCATATCTTCATTCAAGTCGTGATAAAGGGGTTCCTTTCAAGTTCAAATTAGGCCAAGGCAAGAAATGAACTCTCCATATTAATGGTGATATATCTGTATTGTTGGCTATATGTATAAGAAGTCTTTGTTTGATATTTGGGTTTCAGGTGAGGTTATAAGTGGATAGGATGAGGGAGTTGCCACTATGAAGAATGGTGAGAGAGCAAGTTTTCCGATACCGCCAAATTTGGCCTATGGGGAGGCTAGTTCTCAACTACGTACTGATTCCTCCCAATGCAACTCTTGTTTTTGATGTTGAGATCCTGTCATGGAGTAGCATCAGGGATTTAACAGATGATGGAGGAATATTGATGAAGATAATAAAGGAGGGTGAAGGATGGGCTACACCAAAAGGTAGAGATTAAGTTTTAGGTAAACTTCTGCTCTCTTGTAATCATTGTCTATGCCTCTTTTTTTGAGATGTAGTGAGTGGATTATCTACAAGATAGTAATGCCTTTCCAACACTGTAGTGAATTATGAGGCAAAGCTTGAGAATGGAATCCTTGTCTCCAAATCTGAGGAAGGTTTGGAGTTTCATATAGGAGATGGCAAGTGTATTGTGTCAAGAACATGTTCTCAAGTACTGTCGTAGAAATTTGAGGGTTTCATCTCTGGTGAGAATAATTCTTCTATATTGATCTGGGTTTAGGTTATCTATGTCCTGCATTGAGCAAAGCAGTGAAAACAATGACAAAGGGTGAGAAGGCAGAGCTAGCATATTTTTCAAATAAGTATATTTGTGCTCTTTACCATTATAGAACAAGTGAACAACGGTTCAGACAGAGCCATTATGACTATGAAGAAAGGAGAACATGCCGCAGTGACCGTGGATACCGAATACCTCCGTGGCGGTGACGATGCTTCCTGCAAATTCCTTGCTTCATTATGAAGTTGAGCTGATTGATTTTATCGAAGGTTATTTTTCAAATTACTCTTCTGTTTGTATCTGTGAATTATCAGTCAGACCACATAAATGTATTGAAATTTCAATTTCCTGACACACACAGTGCATTCAATTTTCACAGCTCTGAGTTTTGAACAGAAATAACCATTCTGGAAAATTAGAAGCAAGTGGAAGGAAGAAGCTTGACGGAAATGTGCTATTCAAGGCAGGAAAAATCTGGCGTGCCTCTAAGAAATATGAGAAGGCAAGTTTAAATGCTATGAAATTGAAGAAAATCAATCATCATTCATGAATTTAGTATCATTTTGCAGTATTTGAGCTGCAGAATTTGCTAGCTGCAAATCCCAGGCTGCAAAATCTATAGAGTTCAACTACTCTTTCACTGACGAGGAAATGTGGCTAGCAAAAAGCTCGAGGTTATCATGGTATCTGAATGATGCAGCTTGTAAGCTTAAATTAGGAGAGTACCTTGAATATTTTTTTTACTCCATAATTTCCCACATTATGTTATAATAATGACAGGTCTTGGAACTTGACCCACTGAATGCCAAAGGTCTATTCAGAAGATCACAAGCATAATTGAAAACATCTGAATTAGACCCATTGATCCTAATAATCGGTATGTGTAAAAGCTGTTGCACGTTTTTTCTTGAAATAAATGTGAGGCGGCCAAGACATTGAGTCCAACCTAAACTTGTTATCTTGTCCCTAAGGATAAATCCGTCATGCATGGTTATTAAATCTAACCCCATATAAATTTGTCACGAGGCTCTGGTGATAAATCCGGCATATTCATCTACGTTAATTAAAAAAAAATATTATTACTTTTTTTTTAAAAAATTACATTTTTAAAATTTATTAATTATTTTACTCGGATTTTAACCGAATCAATACCCTTTAAAACAATTATCTTTTCTTTCATTCATTTATTTATTTTTTTACCATCGTTTTTCTGCGTGAATAAAAATCAACCCGCCCTGAGCGAAACACGCCTCCAGATGTATGTCTTAATTATCTTATAATTAAAAAAAAAATCTGAAAATATCCAAAGCAGCCGTGGGGTTCTGTAATAATATATTTTCAAATATAAGGTGAATGATCTGCCACGTGCTTACCTACCCCCATTTCATCTATATGAAGGCATCCCTCCTCAATTATTTAACGTGAACCTTGGCAAACCAATCTTTGCCCTATCTTCATCTCCTCTTCTTCTTCTTTTATTATCCTTTTCTCCAATATGGCTCTGCCTCTTTTAGTGTTAGTTTCGATCTTTGTTCTCCTTCTTGCATACATTCTGTACCAGAGGCTGAGGTTCAAGCTACCACCCGGTCCACGGCCGTGGCCGATTGTTGGGAACCTCTATGCCATCAAGCCTATTAGGTTCAGATGTTTTGCAGAGTGGGCTCAGGCTTACGGACCAGTTGTTTCAGTTTGGTTTGGTTCAACTTTGAATGTAGTTGTGTGTAATGCGGAACTGGCCAGGCAAGTTCTCAAAGAGAATGACCAGCAGCTGGCCGATCGATATAGGTCTAGATTGTCTGCGAGGTTTAGTAGAGATGGCAAGGACCTCATCTGGGCTGACTATGGTCCTCACTATGTGAAGGTTAGGAGAGTGTCTACTCTTGAGCTTTTCTCAGTAAAGAGACTTGAGGAACTCAGACCTATAAGAGAAGATGAGGTTTCTTTCATGGCAGAATCCATCTTCAAGGATTGCACCAATCCAGGTATGTCATATGGTAGTATTAATTTCTCTCACACTTTTTCTTGTTTTAGCATTTTAGCTTTTGTGTAGTTTTTGTTTTATTATATTTTTAGGTAATTAATATTAAATTGATAAAAGTAGATCAGTCAAAGTTATATTATTGTAGTTTTTGTTTTATAATTTTATTATATTTTTAGGTAATTAATATTAAATTGAAAAAAGTACATCAGTCAAAGTTATATTATTTTTTAGAAAGTCACAATGGCCAATTATTAAATCTGTCAGATAACGCTAGTTTAGGTTATGACCTCGTTTGGGGAAGCAGCTGTCGGTGTTTTTACTACGTTTTGTATTATTTTTATTTTAAATTAATTTTGTGTTGGTATTTTTAAATTAATTTTTGATATAAAAAATAAATTTTTAAAAATAAAAAAATTATTTTAATATATTTTAAAATAAATATTACTTTAAAAAATAGCTCAAGAATCTTATTAATTTAAGGCAAATCTTCTGTTCCCAGTTTTGGTGTGCAATGTGGGTCCCAGATGTTGTGAACTGGTCATTTAATATATATTATTGGTTTCTGAACTGTCACTCTGTCACATTCCTGAAAAAAACAAATCAAATCTTATTAAAAAATTTAATGATGGGTCCAGAAAATTTTAAATAATAAAATAAATTTTAAATAATTAATATTATATATTATATGTAGAGAAATTAATTTTAAATTTATACATTAACTGATATTTTTAAAGTAAAATAAATTTAAAAATATTTTCAAAATAAAAAATTATATTATAATTTTTTTAAAATTTTTATATTTTAAAATTACTTAATAATGACTTCATTATTAATTTTATTAAAACTATTTTTTTAATATATACAATAATTTTTTTTATTTCTAAATCTTATATGGATTAGTGAAATTATTGACAATAATTTTTTATTAATTTATTGTTTTATATAAGTGGATTATAAATATAAATATATTTTTATTATATCTTTAATTTTTTTAATTATTTAGTATTTTATTTATAATCACTACTATATTAATCATCATTATTTTTTATATAAAATTCATAACAAATATATATTAATTCATTAAAATTTATTTTAAATTATATTCATATATATATATAATATTATATATAAACATATTAATTTAAGAGGCCCATAAATTATTATATTATTAAAAATAAAACTAAAATTAAACAATTAAAAAAAGAATGAAACTCACTTAAAACAGTATAAAAAATTATTTACTTAATTAATTAATAGTTTAAATTATAGAAGAAAAAATATAAAAATAATAAAAAAACATTTGTTAAATTATTATATTAAAATTTCAATATAAAAAGTATTCTAAAAACAAGGATTAAGGGGGTTTAAGCTCTATTGTGGCTCCACCACTGGAAAGGAAAGGGTCCAATGGTCCCACCTAATTAATTATTCACCGAGTGTTCAAAAAATAATTAATTGGTAGGGACCATTCCTTCAATTTAACCCATGTGAGTTTTTACCTTTACTGTCCTCGGTTTTTTCGGTTCTCTTTACATTGAAAGTTCACGAGTTCATGCATCCGAAATGATTTATGGATTTGATTAAATGTCGATTTTGTACGAGAAAATTTTTAAATTATTGTAAGAGATTGAAAAGGGTTCAATTTTAATATTTTCTATAATTGGCGACTTTCTTTCCTTTTTTTACTATTCTAAAGTTGCATAAATATACACACTTTAGTCCATTGGTTTTTTTTGTTTTTTAATTTAATCCTTTCTATTATTTTTAGGATCTTAATTCCGGTCTCAAACTTTTTTTGTTTTATATTTTAATTTCTAAGTCTAAAGGAATGAGAGAGAGTAATGGGCAAATCTTGATTAAAAAAAGCTTTTAAGTAATTGGATTTTGGTAATTAATAATTATGATTTTGATACCTATAAAATTATATTTGCCACATAAACTTAATGGATATGGTTTTCACATTCAATGATGTTGGAGAAAATGAATTAGAGCTTATGGATTTTTTATTTAATTTAATTATATGTTTTTTAGAATGTGTTTTGTTGTTAGAAATGGGGTTATATATGTTCATGAGACCTTTTTCTCATGTTTTTTTTATGATAAAATTGGATCTTGATTTTCAGATCACTAAGCTCTTTGTTGATTCAAAGAGATGATAAATGAACAATGCATCATCAATCATTTTTTTTTTAAATAAACAGGATGAATGATGTTTTGTTATTTTATTAAAAATAAAAAAATATGGAAACTTTAACCTTTTTGTATTATTATATTTTCTGATTAGGGCTCTAGAAAAAAGAAAAGAAAAGAGAAACAGTAAAGAAAATTAATTAAATAAAAAAGGTTATTTGTTTTTTTTTTTTTCACTTCCACAACTTGGGTAATTTTGTTTTGGATGGGTTTCCATGTTGAGCCTGATCAGTATTCTTATAAATCGCATATCCCATCACATTTTCTTGATGATCTGCATTTTTTTAATTTAAATTCCCTAATAAAAAACCCGTAATTTCCCAGTAAAGCTCTTCTGAGGACTTTCTCAAAGCAGATTTTTTTTTTTAAAAAAAAAACAGTAATGTCATCCTCCTTTGATTAGAAGTTTTTTACCAGCGGACAGGTTCAATGTTTCATGATTACTCTAGGCCCATGGCCACGTTTAATTGTTGGAAACCATCATGCCACTCGAAGCCTGTTAGGTTGATTTTGACAAGACTTTTAGCGCAATTATTTAAATTAGGTTTAGTTCAGTTGTGTCTGATTCAGAATTGGCTAAAGAATCGTAAAGGAAAATGCTCTTGAAAACAAGATTCATGTCTTGCAGAAAACCATGGAAAAAGCTTGTTGGTGAAGAAATACTTGGGAGATGTGGCTTTCAATAACATTACAAGACTAGCATTTGGGAAACGATTCATGAATTCAGAGGGCATAATTGATGAGCAAGGCCAAGAATTCAAGGCAATTGTTTCCAATGGAGTTAGGCTGGGTGGATCACTGACCATGGCAGAGCACATTCCATGGCTTCAATGGATGTTTCCACTAGAGGAAGAGGCTGTTGAAAAGCATAACGCTCGTCGAGATGGGCTAACTAGAGTTATCATGGAGGAACACACCAATGCACGCAAGAAAAGCGGAGGTGCCAAGAAACATTTCGTTGATGCACTGCTTACATTGCAAGAAAAATACGACCTTAGTGAGGTTACAATTACTGGTCTCCTATGGGTATGAATGCACGTTTCGCCTCAAAATCTTAAAACAATTTGGTGATTTCGTTTTTGCTGTTAAATGAATCATCGGTCGACTAGCTATGACTGATTATGGCCTAATTAAACTCGCACCTAATAATTTGTGCAGGACATGATTACTGCTGGCATGGATACAACAGCAATCACAGTGGAGTGGGCAATGGCTGAGCTAATCAAGAACCCAAGGGTTCAACAGAAGGTTCAAGATGAGCTAGACCGAGTGGTTGGGTTCGAACGTGTCATGACCGAGGCAGATTTCCCAAATCTCCCTTACCTGCAAGCTGTAGTCAAGGAGTCGCTGAGGTTGCACCCACCAACACCACTGATGCTACCTCATCGTGCCAATACTACTGTTAAAATCGGCGGCTATGACATCCCTAAGGGATCAGTTGTTCACGTAAACGTATGGGCTGTGGCTCGTGATCCAGCTTTGTGGAAGAACCCTTTAGAGTTCCGGCCAGAGAGGTTCTTTGAGGAGGATGTCGACATGAAGGGTCATGATTTCAGGCTACTTCCATTCGGCGCTGGAAGAAGGGTGTGCCCTGGTGCACAGCTTGCCATAAATCTGGTCACGTCTATGATCGGTCATCTGCTCCACCATTTTCATTGGACCACCCCTGATGGTGTCAAGCCGGAGGACCTTGACATGTCAGAAAGACCTGGAATTGTCACTTATATGATGACCCCACTACAAGCAGTGGCCACTCCTCGCCTGTCTCCACACTTGTACAAAAGGGTGGCTTCGGATATGTGATTTGGACGTTGCTGCCATTAAGGACCGAACCAAAAATTTTCCTGTTTTGGAATATTAAATAAATATATGAATTTTCTACGATAAGTTATTAATTTATGTGTAATAAAATTTTAATTCAAATATATTATTTAAAATATTAAAAAATAAATTTGAAGTATATAAAAAAAATAAAAAAAATTACAATTAAAGTTATACTTTTTTATATTTTATAAAATATAATTTATTTATAATTAAATATGAATTAATACTGTAACAATCTTTCAAACAAGATAAAATATCATATCTAAATTAATATTATAACACTCTTTTAATTGTAATAAAATAATAATTTTATATTAATTAAAAAATAAAATAATTAATTCTTTCTCTCTCAATTCCTCTTCTTTTTATTTGATTCTTCCTTAACTTATTACTTTATTAAGGTTATATTTTTATTTTTTTTCTTGAATTTTTTTTATTTTTTTCCTTTTCTCTCTGTCTTTTTTTTTATTCCACTTATGCCTAATCAACAACATATATATATATAAAAAACTGATTTGTTTTATTTTTTAATAGCAACTAATTATTTTATTCTTAATAGTGATTTTGATTTTATTTGATTTTTTTTATTAACTCTACCAAACTCTGTTCATTCTAAAATTTTAATCAAATTTTATTTAATATATTTTAAAATCCTTAGTAAAATTTAAGCTCAATTAATGGATGAATTGAAAATTACACTTAGTTAAATTATAATTTTTTTATTAAATTTTTAAATTTTTTTAAAAATTTTAATTTAAGTGAAAGCATCATATTAAAAGATTATTTTCATAATTTTTTAATATATAAATTGAAAATTACAATTTTTTTTATATAAAATTAATAAATCTTAACTTCATCTAGAACTCTCCCGAGCGCATGCATGCCTCCGCCCTCGGCTGCCATCCTCGGATTATTGTAGGTTTTGAATTGGATCGAGATGGTCCATCACCAAGTCTGAAACGGATGCCTATGGTTTGGAATAAATGATGTGAAAAAACATTAGCCGCACTCAATAAAAGCCTCATGAAGTAATTGATAGATACAGATTCTCACATGAAGCATAGGGCGGCGTGTTTATTGCTCTATAGGATGCTGGATATAGCAGCACTGCCAGACACTACAGTTTTAGCATGTGCTGGCATCAAATTCACATAAAACGCCCCCTCCACGTTCTTCATTTCTTCAACCGTCAAATCAAACCGCTTACATCCAAGAGTACTTGTCGTTGTTTGGCACTCGGCCCAAGCACGTGGCATGAGCCCAGGGGTATCAGGCTGGTGATCTGGCCTGAGGTGCCGGGACACGGTTTGAGTCCTTGTTTTATAAAATTTGATGCTCAATTGTTTTTTTCTTCCTTGTTTTTTTACCAGAGATGTTCATAGTTAGATTCAGTTTAGTTTATATTAATTTTATAAAATATTAACTAAATCAAATAAAAAACTAGTTCAAACCGACCCGGTCAATTAAATCTAGTTTTTTTTAATATATAAAAAAAATCTAAACCTGAACTTTCAATTGTCTCTCGTCCAAACTTTAGCAACCAAATCT